TAGCGCTGATCAGTTGATCATTATTATAGGCTTCGGTTTAGGTTATTGCTTTTACTGTTTGTTGGTTTTTTATAGGTCTGTTTTTGGTCTCCTTTTTTTTTGATTTTGTTCTGAGTAGGTAGTGATGATCAGCTGTTCAACTGTATTGGCTTTGTATTTGGGATTTGTTTTTACTGTTTTTTATAGGTCTGTTTTTCTCCTTCTTCTCTTGTGGTTTGTGTTCTGTATTTGATATCCCCCAGGGAAACACGTTCTTACGTGTTTACGGGTCTTAGCGAACCCGGGGTCCTGAGCTCTTGTTTGGTTGTGTGTAGGTGTTAATGATCAGTTGTTCAACAGTTTTGGCTTTGAAATAGGGAATGGTTTTTACTGCGTTATTGGTCTGTTTTTGTCCTTCGTCTCTTGTGGTTTGTGTTTGGTATTGGTTTAATGTATTGTCTGTTTAGGAAATTATTTTTACTATTTGATCTAGGTCTGTCTTTTGTTGTTTGTTATTTTTTTGTGATTTGTTTAAGTATTTGGTACCCCCCCCCCCAGGGGAACACATTCTTACGTGTTCATGGGATTTAGCGAACCCGGGGTCCCTAGCTGTTCGCGCCAATATTGTTTTTTGTAAATGTTGTTCATGTCATCATTTTTGTGCGATGCGTATCGGTGCGTTGCGTATCTGCTTCCCTCGTCGGCGGCGGTGATAAGCCTCCGTATGTGACCGGCCGGGTGCGTAATCTCGCTGTTATCATCGCATAAAAATATCGTTATTCCATGTTTTCAAATATTGTCTTATACTTTTTGTGAAGTTTAAAGTCAAGCTCTCAGTTCCACATAGTTAATTTATTTCGATTGTTTTTTAGTTTTGTGTTGTGGCACTGAGGCTTTTTATCTTCATTGTGTTGTCCAGCGGCATATCCTTCGTGGTGAATGTCGTCGGCAACTTCGCGTTCTCGTTTTGTGTTTTCGTGGTCTGTACATCAAATTTTCATCGTCTCAACGTTTTTCGTCCTATTTCTCAAGTTTGTCATTACCACGTTTTCTTGTGAATCCTGTGAATAACTGCCCGATAAATATCGTTCGTGACAACAGTCACTATTGTTTTAATTTTTGTTCCCTATTTCTAGGTGGTCAATTTGTACCTGCAGTTTTGTGATTCGTGGTTTTGCATTTGTCGTTGCGCTGTGAATATGGAAGCGTGAATTGTCGTCTGTAACTGGAGTTTTGCGGTGCACATACGCGAAGCATTGTGTTTTTTTATTGTATTATTTCATTATGAGTTATATTCCCCGGTGCGGTAGCGTAGGGATTAAACCCACCGTCCACTGCAGTTGAATGCTGTGAGTATTATTTGTCAACTGTTTTTTCTTTTTACGTTTTTGTGGCAGACGTGCCTTATATATTTCCTTTTTTATAATTAATCTAGCAATATCTCAAGATCTCATTTTCACATTTCTGTTATACATTATATTACATTTATTCATTTTATTGTTTATACCTTATTATTTAAAGTTACCATTTTTCATCTACACTTTTGATATAGTTGTTGTGTCAACCAGGCAACCTAATTTTTATTATTCACATTAATATTACTATTACTATTTTTATTATTATTTCATAATACAGTCCACTTAAACTTTAATTTTCATTTGTTCTTTGTTCATTCCTTTTTATCATATTTATTATTTATTTACAACACATCGTTGAGTTCCCCCTGAGTGGCTTCTGCTGTCACCAGGGCAACACTTCTTCTACGAGCTTTTGTTTAGTTGTTTGTAGTTAGTGTTGAACTGTTGGTCATCACTTTTGGCTTCGAATTAGGGAATTATTTTTATTATTTGATAATGATTATTTTTTTTGTGATTTGTTTATTTGTTTAACTTGGTAAGAAACTATACCATCTTTGATTTAGTTATCAAATGGTTGAAATATTAATTTTTAATTCAACTTTTGTAATCAAATAAATATAGCAATAGTAGCATTTAGTAACC